AAAAAAAAAAAAAACTGATTCGGAAATTGGCTTTCAAAAGAAAAACTGATTCGGAAATAGGCATTCAAATGGGATATTTTTGCAGAAATAATGAAATACTGAAAGCTGTCAATTATTATAATACATCAAATGTAGTACATCGCCATTGATTCTACATCGGCGTAGCTTAAATTAGCTGAATACCCTTTTTGACCACACATTTTTCGGCCGGTGCAATACAATGCAAGTTGGATCAACCGGAGTCGGCTATGGTCTCAAATATCAGGTCAATTTCAAACCTTTTCTAAGATTTTTTTTTCTTGTGTTAATGCATAAAACCCTAGTTTTGGGAGGAAGAGATTCTGAAATGAAGTTATTGATTATAGGCTAGATGCATTTTCGACGTGAAAGCAGATACAGATCGCACCAGTTTCCTCACCAGTACTCTCAGTCTCAAGGAAGAAAATGAGGTCGTTTCAGTTTTCCCTCTTATTTATTATTGATGGCAGCGTTTATTTGATCAAAAATGATTTTTCAAATTTCAGGTGCATTTGATAAGGCTTTCATCGGGGGATACTGAATTGATCTGAGAAGGTTTGTTTTCTCATCCGAATGAAATTTAGGACCTCGCCTCTTGTCCTTTTGATCAATGCATATTCTCCACTGTCTTCTTTTCGGGTAAGTAGGTCATTTTTTAAAAATCCCGGCTTATATGGACTTACAGTCTTCCACATTGTATCTCACAATTTTTAAAATTTTAGTAATATGTTTTTTTTTGTGGTTTCGAAGGTGAATCATATGGAGCAGCAACATGGCAAATCCTCGAGTTATATGGCCAGCAGAATTCCCCACAACTTGAGAGAATTGCTTCTCTGGATGCCTACAGTTCGACGATCAAATGGTGAGTTTATCCTTTCATTGCTAAACAGTGAGCTCGAAGCTGAAAACAAGACACAATTGTAAAATGTAGTAATTGATAATGTTGTTTTGAAGATAAAAGGGAAGTGGAATATCTTTCTGCTCTATGCTTATCATTTCGCTATTCGATGCTTGATAGGGTTAACTGGAAACTGGTGACTTATGTTTATATCTTCTGGAACAAATGAATCTCAGTGCAGTTGAAATTCAGAGAAAAATAAGCTAACTGGTAATTGAATAAAGAGAATTAAAAGTGAAAGTGTAATTGAATTAATTTACAAAATTACAACTGGTAATATATACACAAATTACTGGAGTAGGGAGCAAGTAATTCGTTGTAATTATACGTGAAGAATCAATTATAGTTATAACAAGAACCGTGGTCCCAAACTGTATAATTATAACTGCATATGTGCTTAATCCGACGAGTAAGTAAAAAACCTGTAAGTGTTGGCTAAATACGGTAACTTCAGCCATAACCGGTAAGTGTGTTGATATACGGTAAGTGTTGATAAATACGGTAACTTGCTGTTGAATCTGGTAACTTTAACATCCTCCCTCAAGCTAGAGTTCTGTCAACTAACTCCAAGCTTGTCTTTGAGAAACAGAAACCTGGAATGAGATAAAGGTTTTGTCAACAAGTCTGCAATCTGATCAGATGAAGGAATGTATTGGATCTTCAATTTGCCTTCAAGAACTTTATCCCTCACAAAATACATATCAAGTTCAATGTGTTTAGTTCGAGCATGGTAAATTGGGTTGGAAGCTAGAACACTAGCTCTTATATTATCACACCACATAATTAGGAATGAAGTAGGTTGCAATTTGATTTTCTTAAGAAGCAAATTAATCCAAGCTATCTCAGCTGAGGCTAAAGCTAGAGTCCTATATTCAGATTCAGCACTAGACCTGGCAACCACTTGTTGTTTCTTTGAAGACTAAGCAACCAAGGTATCTTCTAGATAAATGCAATAGCTGGCTGTAGATCTTTTGTCATCAGGGTAGGAGGCCCAATCAACATCAGTATAACCTGTGATGCTCAGGTTATCACTTCTTTGAATCCAAAAACCTTGTTCAGTTGTACCTTTCAAATACCTGAATACCCTTTTTACTGTCTTCCAATGAATATCTGAAGGACTTTGAAGAAATTGGCTTAGCTTATTTACTGCAAAGCTAATTTCTGGCCGTGTATGAACAAAGTATTGAAGTCTACCTATTGCACTTCTGAACAAGAACGGATCAGCCATTTTCTCTCCTTCATTCTTGGAAATAATTTTTCCCACTGTCATAGGCGTTGTATAAGGTTTAAGATGTTCAAAGTTGAATCTCTTTAGCAACTCCTTGATGTACTTAGCCTAAGTGAGATGCATTCCAGATTCATATCTTTTCACTTCAATCCCCAAAAATTTGTGCAATTCACCTATGTCTTTTAATGCAAACTGTAAGTTAAGTTTGTCAATGAAGCATTGTAGTGACTTGTGATCATTTCCAGTGATTACTATATCATCAACATACACCAAACAAAAAATTACTTGCCTTTCATTCATGTAGAAGAACAAGTAATTTTTTGCCCTGGACTTGATGAACTTTCAGTCTAGTGTGCCTTTTAAGCTCTCATACCACGCCCTAGGGGTCTGTTTCAGTCCATAAAGAGCCTTTTCAAGCTTGCAAATGAAGGTTAGATTGACTTTGTCAATGAAGCCTTTGGCTGCTTCATAACAACTACTTCATTCAGCCTTCCATTAAGAAAGGCATTATTGATGTCAACTTGTCTAGCACTCCAGTCTTTAGACATAGCAAGTGACATGATTATTCTTAGTGTGGAAGGCTTGATTGCTGGACTAAAGGTTTCATGATAATCAATGCCAGAAGTTTGTAGAAATCCTTTTGCAACAAGCCTTGTCTTGTACTTCAAAATTTTTCCTTCAATGTCTCTTTTAAGTCAGAAAAGCCACTTGTTTCCTATGGCCTTTTGATTGATCAAAGGTGGCACTAATGTCCAGGTCTTGTTCCTTGCCAAAGCTTTAAACTCCTCTTCCATAGCTGCTTTCTAGTTCTTATCAAATAGTGCTTCAGAAGTATCATTGGGCTCTGCCTTGCTTAGTTGAGTTTTGAATTCTTTGCAAAGAGTGGTGTACACTTTAGGCTTGAAGATGCCTGCTTTTCTTCTGGTAACCATAGAGTGTTCAACATTTGTCCTTCTTCCTGATTTGTGTGAATATTTGGTTCAGTTTCTTCTGCCTCAATACCTCCAGTATTTTCATAGGTTTCCCTTGCAATATGTTCATGTCTAATCTCCGCACTTCTATTATCATTGACCTCTAGTGTCTTAGTTTTAATTTCCTCTAGTTGAAGAGAACTTGGAGATACTGCTGGTTGAGTTAAACTAGAGTGAAGTGTATCAAATGAGCTTACATGACCAGCATTAGAGGGAATGTTGAGTGACATATATTGGATAATGGTTTCAGAGGAGTGGCTACCTCTATTTAGAAAACCATGCTCAAAAGGGAACTCCATTTCATTGAAGACAACATGCCTAGATAAATAAATTTTTCTAGTAGAGCTAAGGCACTTATAACCTTTATGGGAATTGCTTAAACCAACGAAGACACATTTAGTAGAATGGAAAATGAACTTGTGAGGCTGGTAAGGTCTTAGACATGGAA